ACAGAATGTAGTCATTTAACTGCAGTCAGGTTTAAACAGAATATTTATTCATTCATGATTGGTAATGTTCATTCACAAGTTTATCTATTTCAGTTTGTTACCAAGGTAATCATTACCATCATCTCATCATAAGATACCACTACAGGTTGTTAAGACTTATGGAATATTTCACTTTACGCATTTTTAAAATATTCTTATCATTTCATAAGAATAATTTTGAAGTACGAACCCTTCAAACCATATTATTGATTCGTGTGACATGAATCCAATGAGTTCATTTAAAACATTCACAAGGTATGTGGTAAACCTTTCAATGTTTACTTACGCTTGAGTGATTACTGTATATGATAAATACAAATTATGCTTATTAAAACTGGCACGATAAAGGATAATCCAGTAAACAATTAATCTTTCATGTGAAACATTCATACAAGGTAGTATTCACGTCATGAATAATTATTTTGTGTATTTAGAAAAATGCACGTCATTATTTATCATAGTATAAACAAATCCTTAACTAGCGTTTCTTGGTGGTTCGGTTAAAGGTAGACATAAAACTTGAGTTAAAAATTAATGTATTCAAAAAATCAACTTAGTCTGATAGATACCTAAATTGTAGTTCACGTCATGGTAAGCTTACGTAGGTCACAGTAGTGAAAATTTAATTAATAGTTGTAATATGATTACAAAGAAAGGAGACCGACAGACTGAGTTGAATGTATTATTGCATACACTTAGGGCAATCAATTACCCTAAAGAGTTTTTAAAGAAGGTTGTTGCAAGTGAACGAAAAACTAAATCAGAATATACACCATAAGAAGGGGAGAACATCATGGCCATCCTATTTGTGACTCGTCATCTGGATGTACTGTATCTCAGAGTTGATGTTCACTCTGGGACTCGAACTCAGTACCTTTCGCTTCAAATGACATCGCGTTATCCACTTAGCTACTGAATACTAATAGCAACTTGCTTGTGCAATTGGATGAAGTTTAAATTCAATTAGTATTGTTAGTTTTAATGATACTTTTATTGCCATTATATACCATATGATAATTGACTTATTAGTAGAAGATGATTTACTCCATTACTACAAATATTTTAGTTACTTTTATCAATTAATAAAGCAGAACACAAAAGTTCATATATCTAGGTGTGTATATCTATAAATGTGTATATGTATATAAACTTGACTATCAATACAGAGTTTCCAGTATAGATGATTTATAAATTCCTATACCATGGTTGATTATAATTATATTGACATTTCATTAGGAACCATGATAGTATAAATTGGTTGAGATTTGACGATTTTAACACCAGAATAAATCATCTTTTTTCTAAAAATTTGTTGTTACCGTTATCAACAATATTGATGACACAGTTAAATACAGGCATAACGTTTTTTGAAAATATTTTACTCAATGTATAAGAACTCTCGTCTAAATTAGAGCAAATAGTTTCCCAGTATTTGAGCGCCGAGTTGATTTAAGACATTTAATAGGAAGAAGAATCTCGCACTCGCGAGATTCGAACTCAGGACCATGGACGCGCACTGTTGAGGAGTCCCATAATAGGACGAAACGGTCGTCCAGTGCTTCCAGGTTTTCCATGGTGTTCTAGATTCAATTGACTCATGATTTCAACTATGAAAATAATGAGTTCTCCACAAAACCCCTTCTGATTAAAATTCGTATTGATATAAAGATTCAAAATGTACATAATGAAACTGACTATCTAAAAGGCAATACTTGCTTACAAATCAAATAAACTATTTCGCATATGGCTACATTTGAAAGTCATTATCTTCATTGAAAACACTTTTTTTTATTTAAATAAATATTTACTTTGTATATCAACAATTTGTATTCCAATAGTTTTATTGATCTCTAGAGCCAGTTTGAGAAAATGTGAGAACGAAGTATATCGGAAAACAGTCGATACTGATCACATACTCAGTTACAACAGTAACAACCCTATAACTCAAAGATTACGCTGTAAAAAACACTAATTAAGAAAGTAAAATATAAAGTATAATCCTCATTACGTGGAGTGTTGTAAAGCAGCTACTAATAAATACTCTGTAAAAAACTAACTGAGCACAGAACTACATTCAAAAAGTTTTTTTCCCAAATTATTTACCAAGTAAGAAGGTTAACGAAGAAAACCAATAAACGTATATTTCAACTCTAATTGAAGAACATCTCTGAGGTCATAAAACAGATGGTTACATCTGGCAATAACAGGTTTAGCCCACAAGCTGACAAATTTGTTACATTCAGGAATATGTAATCCAAAGAAAATAACTACAAATAAACACATTGCATACATCATATAAGAGATATATCGCAATAAATACTAGAAATAACACACAGGACAAAGTACCCCACCACTCCAACTACATGAATATCAGAGTGCTCTTAAACACCACGGCGTACCTTCACGTACGGTAATCTACGTGAACAACTATGGACGTGATATTGACTGTAGAAATGTTAATATATTGAACAGAAAAAGCATAAAGAAAAGTAAGGGATTTTTAGTAGCATTGCACTCTAATCACCTATTGATCAGTCGACGCATTAAAGTTGACTCAGCCAGCAAGAATGGGAATTAACATCTGTAAATTCACAGTTCAAATCAGATGAAGTGAACATCAAAACAAGCTATACAAACACTAGCTGTACTATTATGAAGAATAACCAATCGAAATCCAGGTAAACAATACAAGACATTCGTTAGTTGTAGATGAATCCTTTCAACTTATTTTTAATTGAAGACTTTGCTGATGGTATTCAGCATACAGACAACAATAGTTCAGAAAAAAATCGCAACTTCATAAACAATAACCATTGGCAGTTATCCATGATTTATTTGTATCTGTTGTTATTCAAAATGTAATTGATGTTAGGTTCAGTTTATCACTACTGAACATCATTTTGTCACCAAGACAATACGAGAATTTTATACCAACTTGTTTGTATTTATTTCAGAAATTAACTTCAATCTGACCAATTTTAACTGTTATTAATCTGCTCCATAAATCTACCCAACATGAATCAATGAAAAAAACTTTTTTCTTCTTGGCAAACGATAACTAATTAGTATAAATGCTTCTCATTTTTTGTGAATAAATTATTATTAAATAGATTATAATTAATTCATTGAAGATTAGTTGAGTTTTCTTTAGTTTTTTTACAAGCATTTGAAAATATTTGATCTGAATATCTTTCACAGAGTAACAGGATTGATCACAAACAAATTCCACGAACCCGTTGTTCTTTAGTTATAAATAAATTACCAGTCGATTTTTGATGTCCAGTTTGCTTATGACAAGGATTTTCAATCACATTCTTTGATGTATGATAGATAAAAAGATTGTATCGTCAACTATCAGTCTATGTCATGTTCCAAGTCGTCCACATACAAAGTACTAGGTGAGATGAAACTGTACTAGAATCAGGTTATCTAAGCTCAAAGGCATACACAGTTGTCAGGTGACGTAATCAAGTGAAGATAGTGAAAAGTAAAACAGTTGTACTTAAGAAATTAGCAGCTCAGCTATGATAAGTGCAGTAATAGAAACTTTACAGTTGTGAGTGTAATTTTAAAACTTTAATGCACGTTTTAAGAAAAGGTAGCATAGAAAAGTATTCCCATTAAAACTTGAGATTACTGACATAATTGGATTGCAAACAGAATTTTCATTGAAAACATTAGGGATGATAGCTTGAATCTTCAATTTTTCACCAGTGTGTTGAATATAAATTCGGCGTTTCACACAAGAATATGATTATCGCTTAATTTGATAACATGCGAATCATCTTTCATATCTAATCAATATGATCTTTGGAAGAAAGGAACCTATTTATGTATTCTTCGAGTGTCACAATAAACATGCCGAACGATATAATGAATGACGATTAAATATTCCTATGGAAGTCTCCTCTACAACAAAATACTTTTCATAAGTAACATATCCATATAATAATTTAACTCATTCGATTAACTATTTTTGTGATAAGATTCTAGTTAAACGTCTTGAGAGAATTTACTGTGAAAGATAATCATTCTACTGTATTGTTTCATCATGACATGTCGTATCTTGTTGCGACTATCTAATTGTGGTAGACTTACTTCGAGAGGTTAAGTTTTTATTAGAGGATACCACATCTAAATAAAACATATTTCAAAATTAAACAGCTTTCGTCAATCTTACAGCTGATTATATGTAACCTTCATATTCAGTATATGTTCTACGCATTGTCTAGGAAAATTAGTGAAACCATTAAAATTAATCCATTTGATATTGTTTACTCGAATCTTCCCATTGATGTCTAGGACTACAAATGATCAGTCTCTCACTGGCATATGTGCGTACTGTACTTATGTCCTCAACTCTGAGAAGCAGGCACATTCCGCTGACGAGTCTCAAATAGGACAAAACGCTCATCGTGGATTCCACTGCTACCTCCTATCCATGTTTTCATTAAATTAAATAATAAAAACAGAATGCTATTTACTACGTCTTTTTATATATTTCTCTTTCTTCTTTTTCCACCATGAATAGATAAATATCATTATGAACAATTAAGATGTAACAGATTAGTTTGCAGTAGAAAAATGTTCAAAATTGATGAAATAGGCAAACTGAAGAACAATAAAGGTCGACCAGAATTATTATTATTATTATTATTATTATTATTATTATTATTAGTAGTAGTAGTAGTAGCAGTAGTAGTAGTAGTATTAATATTATTATTACGTCATAATTTATTATCATCCAATTATAGCTGTCATTGAAATGAGAAAATAATCAAAATAAAGGGTGTAGAAAAGCAGAACATCTAAATTGTGATGAACATTGTTTTTATGAATATATACAAAGGTATTTAGTCTATTAAGTCAATTGATTAGCATTATAGACTTAGTTTATTACTCATAATCCAATGAAAGTAAACTATTTAGGATTACTGGAAACATATTCATTAGTTTTAATCGTTGGAAAGAAAATTTTACTTTACTATTATAGCTCAAGTGATGTGCAGCATTAAGGTTTTATTCAGTTTATTTGTATTTGACATAAATATCTACAGAAGAGTTTGCCTTCTGTAAGACGTTTATATTATAGGATTTTGAATGAAACAGAATATCTATATTCTATTTGTGTGTAGAATGGAATGTTTTAGCTAAACCATATTTTACTGTTCTAGTCAAATAATCAAGTATTGATTTCCATGTAACCGCTAAATCAGCTGACCATAAGCCTTCTTCTTTGAGTACAGGCTCTATAGCACCCCATAATTGCTCTGAAACACTCTAAAACAAAGAATAAAAGTAAGAAAATAAAGATGAGTTAGTAATTAATTATGTCAATAGCTAGATTTCTTTTTGTGTATCTAAAATCAAGTGTGATAAAATGTAGATGTCGAAAATACTAGTTTAAAATTAAATGGCTTTACACACTAACCAAATTTAATATCAACATAATGTCTAAAGTTCTTAAATACATGAATGTATGTTGCTTCTTTCTTAACAATAGACTTCCTTCGTCTTTTCTGAAAAAATCAGAGAGCAGAGAAGAATTATAGACTGACTTCGTGAGGTAAATCCAGGAGTTCTAGTGAGAAGCAGTGATCAGTGGAGTTCAAACCACGTCTGTCACTGAAGACAAATGGTGAACGTTTGCTCAACTTCGTGTATCAGTTGAAGCTAGACAATAACACCGCTGGATGCTGGCTCATTTGTCTATCGTTAAAGTGCTCTGACGCGAGACTGGTAGGTCCTGGGTTTGAATCTCACGAGGCGGAATCTCGGGTGCACACTGCTGAGAAGTCCCACAATGAGACGAAGCGGCCGTCCAGTGCTTCCAGGTTTTTGCATGATGGTCTAGCTTCAATTGACTCATGATTTCAACTACGAAAATACTGAAATCTCCACAAAACCCATTCTGATAATAAGAATTGTAGAATCACAGAATGAAACCTATGAGTGAAGTGGATCAACAGAATTAGCAACATAAGATCTTCAATTCTCATGGTGAATACAATACTTATAACAATTACAAATTGTTACTGAGATAGTAACAGCTCATAAGCTTATATGTTAATTTTCCGTTATTTTAATGAATGATCCATATAATCTACAGAACATCATTATGTATCTGAATGTTTAGAAATTCGTAGTTATAAATCACCTACAAATACATTTTAAACATATAGATAATTATGATATTGTTATTGTTGGTATGGCCGAGAGTGGAGAGAGTCTGCTCTCCCTCTCCAAATGCTCTCTTATGACCGCGCGTATATAGCCTCTGTATGGGAAGTCTTACTCACTGCCTTCTTGTATCACGGGTGCGCATGGGCTCCAGTGTCCTGAGGGAAGAAATGGCGTATGAATCAATCGTTGGTTACCGGCTACCACGGGACTAAATCTTTTTACAATGCTCCATTGCCTTGTGGATCAGACCTTATTGTCAATGGTCCCGGTTGTGTTTTTTATGAAAACCACCTGCTTCAATTTGGGTAGTCGGGCGGTATCATAGCCTCCACACACATCAAATGAGATTTGTGTGGCGCACATATATCTGGTGTACCTTTGTACCAATGTTTGTGTTTAAATAAAATAAATAAATAATTATACATTCTGTTAAGTAACGAAATTCACATGATTAAACTCAAGTAGTTTTTCTTTTAGAATGAACAAAAATAGGATAGAACTAGAAAGGAAGGACAAGTACAGAGTGGGTTGGAGAATGTCAGTCAGTGGCCTATGCTCCATTGGAAGTAACAGGCGTAAGTAAGTGAGTTTTCTTTTAATATTTATATAAATGATAGTCAAATTGAAAAATTACCATAAAATTTACTTATTACTACTAAATGATTGATCATATCAGTAATATTTTCAATCAAATAAAGAAATAAAGAAACCTTCAATCGCAAAATAATCGTCAAAAATTAATTTTTTTTTTCTGTTTTAATTTATTTATTTAAAATAATAATAGTTTAGGTCACAAGTTTAAAATTAAATTGAACAAATGAATAAGGTGTAGATTAGGATTAATTTTTAAAAAAAAATCTCAATTAACAGCAGAATGAATCATAAGTGTTCTCATTTAATTTTGTTTAAATATAATAAAATCTTAAGCTGAAAATTTAAATTTTCTTCGCACGGATTTATATTTTATGGTTCATGTGAACAATGAATAGAATATCCATTGAATTCATTGTTTCATATGGGATTAACTAACTTACTTTTTCCAGTAATTAACCAAATAAACTTAGTTATATATGTAGAAATTCTTTTATTGAACTAAGCAAATATGTAACTTTTTAGTTTACACCGAATACCACAGAGAGATAGCTGGTCGTTTCTTCATATAACAAGAAACTTAGGTGCTGCTGATCTACGAACTTACTACAGATTAGGCTTAGCACCTTCAGTTCTGCGACGACCATTAACTAATAATATACCGAGCTGGTTTCTAATAGTTAGTCTCTCATTGGCTGTTGTGGATAACTGTCACACATTTAGAGAAACTCCATTAATCACAGTTTCTAATAGGAAATTCTGGAAGTTGATCCCGAAGTTATCCATAAGTGAATAGATTGTCATTATTATTATAAGTGGTTTCTGAAGACTTTTGGAATCCATGATTACTGATAGCTCAAAATATATAATTTATCTACACACAAATTCTATACAAATATTCAACTATTGATTTTGGCTGTTATTAATTTTCCTGCTGTGATGAAGCGATGTCACCACAAATCACTAACAAAACTATGTGAATGAAAAGTAATACCATCTTAGTTTTGAAAATAAGTAAAAAAAATTTCAGCTTACAGATACCAGTGCGATTGTTGGAACGTATCGACAATGTTTTGATCCAATCATCATTAACTGTTTTTCAATATCATCAGTTTTAGGCAATCGGGTAATTAGTTTATCTACTACGCTTAACACGCGTAAACCGTGAACTTGCATTGCTGGATCATGTTTTATATCAACGAATTTCCTCTTTCGAAATTCAGTAAATGCATCACGAAAGTCTGAATGTTGTTCAAATATTCTAAGTATAAAAAAGACGAATGCAAAACATCAATGAATACTTCAGCTAAAGTTTTGATGTAAAATTTTAAAAAAAAAACCAAGAATAAAACACTTTTGAATATTCGGTAACTATTTGTTGTCTACATCTTTTATTAAAACTATATCTATTCGAACTTGGTGTAGAACACAATTATTTATTGACATTTAGATATAAAATTGAATGGCTGTGAACTCTTGCTCTTCACTATTGAATGTTGAATATCAAAATACTTTGATGTGAGATAGAACAACATCGTTTCTGTTGTCTTGCATATTCGTTTATATTATCATAAACTGAAACCATTGTTGTTTGATTGAGATCACAAACCGGTTGATGTTAGAACATTACTGGAAAACTGGAAGCACTGAACGGCTGTTTCATCCTATTATGGAACTCCTCGGCAGTACGCATCCTAGATCCAGCTCGCGTGATTCGAACGCAGGGCCTTCGGTCTCATACGCGAACGCTTAACCTCTAAACCACTGAACAGCATCCAATTATGTTATTGACCTTAAAATCTATTTTTGTGTTCCAAACATTTTTTCAAGAGACAACAAAATCATGGTAATGATTCATTGAAAAGATACATAACTATAAAGAAAATGTAATCTTCATGATCTTAATTCTGAATAGAAATTGTTTCCCGTGAATCAAACAAGTTTATCAGTGCTGTTATTCATATTCATCGCATCTGTTCAACAACAGTTTTATTTTTCAGATTGCAAATAATTCATCTATTTTTGTAATTTGTTATATGGCTCAAATGAATTACAATGATTATTCGTTTTAAGATCATTTCTGTCAAAAAAACAAACAAACTAGAAGCTGATTAAGTTCCAACTTCTGTAAAGATGCTTCCAAACATCTATGGGTGAAAATTTAGTATTCTGCAATAACTAAAAAATATTTTGTACAATATATTTTGTGCAATATATTCTGGAGTCCAACCAAGTCTGTTGTAGAGATATCAACTCACTGAGGATAATTGGCGAACGGTTGTTCAACTTCGTGGATCATTTGAAGTTAGAAATTATCATGTTGGATGCTGACTCAGTGGTTTATCGGTTAAGTGCTCCGGCGCAAAGCTTGTAGGTTCTCGGTTCGAATCTTTCGAGGCGGGATCGTGGATGCGCACTGCTGAGGACTCCAACAATAGGACGAAGCGGCCGTCCAGTGCTTCCAGGTTTTTCATGGTGGTCTAGTTTCAATTGACTCATGATTTCAACTATGAAAATCCTAAATCTCCACAAAACGTTTCTGATCTATTCTAAAAATGATTCTAATTCATGCTAGGAGCTTTAGTAGAAAAGTCTTAATATTCACAAATGTTCATTTATTTGTAAAAAAAAGGATATAAGTACATAGTAGTTAACTGGTTTTCAGAATATTTCAGTGATTCACTTAAACTTCATGTTCATAGTTCATATTTTGAAACCATAGTTCAAGATGAACGAAAATGGGAACTTTATCGTGTTTATTAGAACTAAGAACATTTCATCAACCATCTCCCTTGAAATTTATTAATCTCTTTGCTTCGCTTTCACAATTGAGTTTTAAAAGTTAATTACTGTTGTAAAAACTTCAATTTATTCATTCTGTTCAAATGTATGCCTACAATAATTATAAAGCTTCAATCAAGATAATATGCATGTTTAAACCTAATTAACAATTGCTAGTTTAGTTCTAAAAATAGATCCATTGTTAGAAGAAGAAAAAAAAATCAAGGGAAGCTTAAAACTCATTTACAAACTACCACATTAATCAAGGTGGATTGAGTGTATGTACCGAAATTCTATGACAGACTATAACAACAAACTGATATCTTAAAGAAAGTATTAACAAACTTTATGAAAATAATACTCACGCAAAAAGTGAACGGTTAACATGAACGTCTTTTTTTTAGATTTCATAGTTGGTAACACTTTCATTCACAGGGGTGTAATTCATTCACGCATAGTTAATTCATAGAACACTTGGATATATATTCGAAAATAAACATAATTAATAATTTACAGTCATATAAATAATATCACTATTGAATTATCTTTGAAGAAAAGGAAGGAACCGATGAAGGAAATTCCGTGTTCACGTTTTGTAGATCCCTAGAATTACAAACTATTCGGCTGAAAAAAGAAATTTTCGGTGATATTTTGTATTATATCTCATTAGCCAATACATTATTCATGGGAGATTTTTTCCCATTATGTTATTTTATCTTTATTCAATGGAAAACTTGTTTATTTATTTATTTTGTCAAAGTGTTTTATGAATCTAACTGTAAGAAAAGCTTGTCCTTTCCTAATGAATTCACACTTGCAAAGAATTATTATACTGATGGCAAACAAGACTTTCCCATTATCACAACATGCACCAATCGAATCAAACTTGACGGAGAAGCTTTGAAGGATGTGAAAACCTTTACATATCTGGGCAGCATCATTGATACCCATGGTCGATCTGATGTAAATGTGAAGGCGCGGATCGGCAAAGCAACAGCAGCATATTTACAACTGAAGAACATCTGGAACTCAAAACAATTGTCAACCAACACCAAGGTTAGAATTTTCAATACAAATGTCAAGACAGTTCTATTGTATGGGGCGGAGACGTGGAGAACTACGAAAGCCATTATCCAAAAGATACAAGTGTTCATCAACAGCTGTCTACGCAAAATACTTCGGATCCGATGGCCAGACACTATCAGCAACAAGTTACTGTGGGAGACAACAAACCAGATTCCAGCGGAGGAAGAAATCAGGAAGAAGCGCTGGAAGTGGATAGGACACACATGGAGAAAAGCGTCCAACTGCGTGACAAGGCAAGCCCTCATATGGGATCTTGAAGATCAAAGAACACATTACGCTGAGAAATGGAGACAGACGTGAGAAGAATAAACAACTAATGCATAGAACTATAAAGAATAGCTCAGGACAGATTGAATTGGAGTAACAGGCGTAAGTAAATAATTAAGTAAACAAATAGTAGGTTACAATATGAATTGGTTGTAACAAAAATATAAATGAAAACCACGGAACATTGTACAGATGTTTCGTTTAAGTAGAGAGCTCTTCAGCATTGTGTGAACGTAAGAAAGATTAATTTTGACCTCAAGATTACTTATGGAACTATTTTTTTATTGATAATTCAATCCCATTAGATAGATAATATTTGTTTTGGCAGTGTGAATATCGGATAATAAATAACTTGTAAACCATTTAACACATTATTATTGTTTATATTTCAATAATAACTTATTGGATAAATGTTTAGCTGTATTTTCATATTCTCGGAACTATAATTTTCCAGTGGACTTATTATATATTGTTGTATGTTATTTTACTTTTTAAAAATAGCTAACTAATTATTCACCTTTCCCCTCATCCTCTTTCATTTTGGTCATACTATGGAACTAAAATCCGGGCTAGAATAAAAGAATACGTTGTGGAATGACATGCATTAGGATTACTCTCGAATAACCCTGGGGTTGATCCTGCCATTCAAAATACAAAATCTGTTAAGGCTCAAGAAACTAAGCGATATTCGAAACCGTTTAGGCTGAATAAAAAATATTGATAGCATTCTAATTAATAAATCTCTACTCTACATACCCGTTAACCTGGATTCAATTGTTGAGTAATAAATTTCTAATAGGTACACTAAATGAAATAAAACGTTAGTGGACTTAAGGTTCTTGAGCTCAGTTACTAACAGCGGTAGTGGATAAAACTGATGAGTCTTTTAATTCGGTACTAATTTGTCGACAACTTTTACAGTCGGCTAGTAATATTAACTAACATTTGATTCAAAAAAGAAACACAAACATCCTATCTTAACAATAACATATGTAACATGTATATAGTGGTTGGGAAGCTGAATGAGTGACACTTCTAACTTTTGATGAGAAAAATAATTTTTTTAGTTCATAAAAACTTGAGTAAGATAAACTCATATCTTGAGGCAATTGGTACATTTTAATACATCCAAGCTTGACAAATTATATTCACTTCCAATGCCTACTCAGTAATTTCAGTGAATTTTTATTTTATCTGTTATAGAGTTTCATTCATTCGCTAAACATAAGAATTTTAATTATTCAAGGTTCTTGGACAATTCCACTGATGTATTTCTACTATTGTATTTTAGCTTAAGATAATAACAGATGAATTATTTGTTTTTTTCATTTTCGGATTTATAGATTCCATTAAAATTATTCCATTTGATATTGTTTACTTAAATCTTCTCATTGATAGGATTGCAATTGATCAGTCTCTTATTGGCATATGTGCATATTGTGTTTACGTCCTAGATATTGCCTTAATTCACAAGCATTATAAGCAAAGAATGAACATCAACTGTGAGATTCAAATGCATTCAGCTGACGAGTCCCAAATAGGACGAAACGTGCATTCTGTATTCCACTGCTAGCCCATATCCATCTTTCATTAAAACTAATGTTTATAGAAAATGATTGATTTATTTTGTCTCATTCGTTTTTCGTCGTTTATGAAAAATCAAACGAATTATATAACTAGTTTTCTTTAATTTACCACAGATTTATTTTAACAGGGTTATCACTAACAATCAGGGTTATTGAAGAGAATTTTCGCTAAGTACGGTACTCCACAGCATTCGCTAATATTTGTACCGGGATTCATGATCATTTTAAAAAACCATAGTTTGTTAACAATTTCAGAAGCTTGGTAAGCAGAGATGGATAGTGGCTAGCAGTGGAATCCAGGACGCGCGTTTCGTCCTATTTGGGACTCGTCAGCTGGATGTATCTCAATTTCAGAGTTGATGTTCACTCTGGGACTCGAACCCAGTACCCTCGCTTCAAACGCAATCGCGTTATCTACTCGGCCACTGAGTCCTGCTAGCCACTTGCTTAAGCGATGGGGTTAAGTTTAAATTCATTTAATATTGTTTGTTTGAATCTTCCCATTGATGTTCAGGACTGCAACTGTTCAGTCTCTTATTGGCAGATGTACATACTGTGCGTATTGCCTCGATATAGCCTTAATATAGCCTTAAATTTCTGCTTACCATGATTGTGAATTAAGGCTGTATCGAAGCAATACGCACAGTATGTACATATGCCAATAAGAGACTGACCAGTTGCAGTCCTAACAAATCGATGGGAAGATTCAAACAAACAATACTGAATGAGTTTAATTTGAGAAGCTGTCTTAAATCTTTTTAATGAGGTTTTTTTATGTTGTTAGAAACAACACGCAAACACACCTTTGACTATTAGACGATTCGATTATAGTAAGCTGAATTTTCAAGTTTTTCAATAAACTGTGAAAACAAAAAGCCTGAAACGATAGTGAGAAACTTCAGGTTTAAAATTCTTCTGTTATATTATCAACAAACGGATACAACATTACATAAGAAACAATTATAAAGACAATCTATTCATACAGCGGAGGCTGTTATTGGTGTTTTGAACTTAAATGGCTGGTCTAGGCGGAAGCAGGATCGATAAGCGCTCTAGACTGCTCGTACGGTTTCCGTGTGTTACTGTTCCAATGGATAATTCGCTGCTCTCTGATTGGTGGTCTTATCACGTCATACATTGACAAGGCATTCACTCGGCCACAAGATATAACATATACATAACATTTCTAATTTACAAAAAACACAATTTTGAAGTATCTATGCCGTAATAGCAGATGTGAACTTTCACCATTTTTAACATATAACATTGTCCAATTCATTAGAACATGCCTCATTTCGGCCTTTGTAAAAGATCACAATCAATATGGACTTATAACTGTAGAACCTGATGATGAAAGGTGAAATTATACTAACAAAGAAAATTCGAAAGAAATAACGATGAATGAAGACAATATTATAGGTCAAACAAGTATTCCACCAGGTATAACAAATCAAATATACTTTTGGTTATAATAAGAACAAATAAAAGTTAATTATTGCTCCATGACGGATTATACAGTTAGTTGGAGCAGAAATACAGAAAAACTAAGAAAAAACGTATCTGTGAAAGATGGTATGAAGAGTTTACCTATTACTATACATTATGAATAGAAGTAATCAAAGATGAATAGTGACTATCCATCTTTGCTTATAATGCTTGTGGATTAAGGGTATATCGAGGTAATACGCACAGTATGCATATATGCCAATTAGACACTGACCAGTTGCAGTCCTAACACATCAAAGGGAAGATTCAAAGAAGTAATACTTAGTGAATTTAAACTTCACACTACTGCACAAGCAAAATGCTATCAGGACTCAGTAGCTGAGTGGATAACGTGATGGCGTTTGAAGCGAACGGTACTGGATTGCAGTGCCACAGTGAACATCAATTCCGAGATGCAGATACATCCAGCCGACGAGTCCCAAATAGGACGAGAGGTGAGTCCTGGATTCCACTGCTAGTCACTATCCATCTGTGCTTATAATTTTGCACTTCATTTAAATTTGAACATGAGTAAAGTATGAAACATTTTCCAAAATCATATAAGATTTATGGCATATAATAACATCTCCCTATAGTATTAATAATCAACATAAAGAATAAAGAGAACTTATCAATGTGAGGTTATCAAAAAAAAACAAGGACTCTACAGATAAGTAGTATAGGCTTAATATACATTTGTATAGATTAGATACTTCCTTTATTTAAAATTAGGTTTCAATTAAATAATGAACCAAATGAAAAGAGATTATTCAGTTTGCTTTAAAGCATCATTAAAACAATTACCTTCACCTTTTGTCCCATCATATTACTGTCGTTAATTATTAAATGATGACATTTATATTCATTGCTTTTTACATAACAAGTAGAAAGGGATAACATCTTAAATGTTCTTACTGACCGTTTATAGAAATAGGAGGAAACATTTAACTATTAATTTTATACCATAATAAAGTCGAGTGTTTCTATAAGGAAAATGTATAATATCACAAAATCAAACGAATCATTTTTTTTTGTTACTCAAATGATTAATCTTGTAAGCGAGAGACCGAAAGTCCTGGATTCGAGTCCCGCATGAAGGACCGTAAATATGAACTGGCGAGTAGTCCCATACCAGAATGAAATGACCATTAAGTGCTCCTAGGTTTTCAGTGGTGGTCTGAAGTTGAACGATTCATGAATTCAATAAAAACTAGTGTTATCAACATAAAGTATTTAAATTTTTCAAGCTCAACAATCTTCATTTCGTAAGTAACAAATGAAGAGTGAGTGATACCATATGAGATTGTGTTAAATTTGATTGTGAACAACTTAATAACTAATTCTATATGATTCTTCGTAAATATAAAAGTGAACAAACCTTAGTAGTATATTTCGTAGTCCAACTATTTTTTTAAAAAAGAAACGATATGACGTATATTAACAAATATTCGGGTGCTTAACAACTAAAGTTTTGTTCTACTTATGGTTTTTTAAGTGATTGATTGAAAGAAATAACTTTTTGTATCCTTCCATAGCAACTTTCTAAATTACTTACATACTATCCATTCGTGAATTCATTTATTTCGAAATATAATGTTAGGAATTAGATCAATCCTCACTTGATGATAACCAAAAGTTATCTGAATAGTTAAAATCTTTATAAATGTATTGATAAACGTTGTACCCTTCATAATGATCTCCTTTCCATAATAGTTTGAATAAATTCGCTTGATATTGTTTACCCGAGTCTTTCCATTGATGTTTAGGACTACGATTGATCAGTCTCTTATTGGCATATGTGCATACTATGCGTTTTTCCTCGATATCGTCCTAATTCAGGACTCAGTAGCTAAGTGGATAACGCGACAGCATTTGAAGCGAACGGTACTGGGTTCGAGTCTCAGAGTGATTGACTTCAACTGAAGAAACTTTAGGAACTGTTGTTAAATAAATTTTTTTTTCTTAAATTGATAACTTCAATTGTTATAATTATTTAATATGAATGTGAAATATGTATACTTCACTTTCGACTTATGTATCACAGTAATCTTAATGAAAAAAATAGGGATCACAGTGATCCATTCGAATTTCTACATAAATGATTGATAACTTGCTCTATGAACCTTGATTTTCATTAGTTGTTGTTGATGTTTATCGGATCATTGTTTTATTTTATTTGCGATGACAAACGCCAACAACAAAAAGTTCTGACTAAAATTCATAGAATAGATAATTAGTCAATCTGGAAAGTATCGAATGGCTTTCATCTAACTGAAGTTTAAGCAAATGATGTTTTCCAGCAGAAAAATGTAATCACCAGGATTCGAGAATAAAATTGTACTAAAATCTCACCTCAGAACTACAGATTTCCTCCATCTTAAAGCTAAGCGTATAAACATCCTAAGCCTAGTATTTCCTCATATTAAAAACAAACATAATCAGTAGTGGACGGTCAAGAAGTACAATAGTGTTGGATAATTTTAGTTGTGTTAGGCATGTGGAAATATACTTAACTATTAAATAAGCTGGTCAAGAAAACCAATCGCAGATTCAACTTTATTCTCAAGCCTTACAATCAGTATTCACACTGAGATAGGTAAAAATAATTGTAGTGATATTAGCTATAATTGAGACAGTGTTCATCACTTCAATGTTTCACAGTTTGGAAAGTTGTTGCACAGCTTACTGTTACCATTAAACATACCCTGCAATATGTGACGTAAACGTAAATAGTTTTAAAGCAATATATTAAAGATAAAACTGGAAAGATATATTTTGAGGATTATATTATCCATGTAGTTGTCTACTGAAACATATTGCTTTCAAGGAAAAATGAAGATATATTCATTAAACATAATAATGTCAGAAGGGGGTTTTGTGGAGATTTTGGTAATTTTATATAGTTGAGATCATGAGTCAACTAAAGCTATACCACTATGGGAAACCTGAAAGCTATGGACTACCGTTTCATCCTATTGTGGGGCTCCTCAGCAGTGCGTATCCACTATCCCACCTCGACTCATGATCTCAACTGTGTAAAATTACTTAAATCTCCACAAAATACCCTTCTGATATTAATTAACAAATGCTCACTAGCAAATTGCTTCATGAGGTATTTTCTGAAGTTCTAGTGAGAAACCGTAACCAGTGGAGTTCAACCAGGTCTTTTGTGAGATATCAACTCACTGAAGATATTGGTGAATGGTTGCTCAATTTCGTGGATTTGTTGAAGTTAGACATTAACACCGTTGGATGCCGGCCGGCTCAGTAGTCTATCGGTTAAGTGCTCTGGTGCGAGACTGGTAGGTCCTGGGTTGGAATCTGGCGAGGCGAGATCTTGAATGCACGGTGTTAAGGAGTCCCACAATAGGACGAAACGGCAATCCAGTGCTTCCTGGTTTTCGATGATGGTCTAGCTTCAATCGACTCATGATTTCAACTATATAATATTAATGATGTGTCAAAACACCAACTATCTTATACTTCATTGAAAAAAGAAAACTTGTATACATTTAACTTACCCAAGAAATGTTATGACCCCAATTTTTTCAATATGTTGTTTAACTATACTCCAACTTGTTTGTAATAATAATAATTGTTCATTAGTAAATGATGTGACAGTGTTTAATGCATTTTCATGTTCAGTTTGTATAGAAGTTATATCATCTGGTACATCTTGTGTTAAATTTAATTTATTTACATTGGTTGATGAAATAGAACTAGATGATGAATTGAAACTGACTATATTACTATTAGGAGTAGTAGTAGTAGTAGTAGTAGTAGTTGATGATGAGGATGATGATGGGTAATTGAATTTTTTTGGTGAGATTGATAAATCATGCATACTTTTATATAAACTAGAATTTCTTGATAAAGTTAAATGTTGTTTAATACGTTTTTTAAAACTATTTATTAAACTATAATTAGAATCATTTGATGGTTTACTTGTATTCAATTGATGTCTAGTTGGATTTAATGAAGGACTAGATGAAAGTGATGCGGTAGTTGATAATTCAACTTTATCATATGTAATATTAATACTTGATGATTTAATTGTATTTAAATGAACACAATCATCAAGACACTTGACATCTTTATCATTTGAATTATGTAATATGATTGAATCTAATGATTGTGAACATTCAACTGGGATTATTTGATCATCCATGGTGAATATTAAAAATTCTGATTTATTCTTTAATGGATTGACAATTATTTTACATATTTAATCCATTTTATGTTCGAAATTTTTCTTGGTTTGTTTCCAGAAGAAGAAAAAGAAAAAAAAAGGAGATTCATGTCCGTTTTTGAAATTGGATTTTGTCATTATAAAATAAATAAATTTAAAAAAAATTATAAAAAAAAGAAACAGGCGAATGATTGTTATGATACAGTGAATCTTCTGATTGGTTAAGTAGGTGGTAACAGTTATGATTTGCCCAAATAAATTTATCCATTTAAGTAATATATTGTATATATATATATATATATATAAGTAATAAACATAACAAAAATGTGAGAAAAATGAGATTGTTGGATTCGATTGGTTTAATTTCATTCTATTTCATGGGGATATACACTCAGTTCTGACGACAAAACCATATTCGTTGAACAGGTCGGTCGTTAGATTCTAGAACTAAAATCAAATAATGTATCATGTATGAAGGAAAATAAACTGGGAAAAGGGACAAGAATTTGAAAATAAATTAGTGAATAAATGGATAGTGGGTAGCAGTGGTATTCAGGACTCACTTTTCGTCCTATTTGGTACTCGTCAACTGGATACACCTGCATCTCAGAGTTGATGTCCACTCTGGGACACGAACCCTGTACCTTTGGCTTCAATCACCATCACGTTATCTACTCGGCCACTGAGTCCTGATAAAGACTGACCAGTTGTAGTCCTAAACATCAATGGGAAGATTCAAACAAACAATACTGAATGAATTTATAGTAATGAATGTTTTATATTTTATTATTGTCCCTTTGTGTTATAGTGATGAATAAATATTAGTAACGCGTGCTCCAAGCCTTAATTCCTAAGTGTACACTAGAACTATTTACTTGATGATTTATATATTATGCATGATGAATGTATTTCATTTAGCTATTTGCTATAAGAAGATTTAGAAATTTAGTTACATGATCTGTCTCTTAAGAATATAAGGTTCAAAGATAAATAGTGTCTTGAGCAGAGAACATATTTCCAAGTAGAATCATTCATAATACTTCATTACTATTTCATCTCTAATTTTATAATTCCTAATGTACTTAAAAGCATTTCTTCATTTTCAATACATCTTATCTATTGAAAGACCTCGTTGTTTTAATGGGGAAATCATCTAGGAAAAATTATAAATCGGTTGAATTATATTTAATGAGAGGAACTATCATAATTTGGACAGTACAACTTGAAATTTCTTCGTGAAATTCGTGAAATTGGTAGTTTAGGTCGTCACTAAACTTTTTTACACAGAGCAACATTTTGAATTTCTGGACACAAAATATTAAATCTTATTTTTTCAAACTTTATTTTTGTCACTGTTTAATCTAGTCACATATTCATTTTCATTGAAAATTTAAACAATTTCACATTATACTTTTTATCCGAACTTCGATGAACCATGTTCAATGAGTCGTCTGATCTATTACTGTGTATAATGTGATGTATTCAAAACATTCTTATTATCAATTAACCATCAGAAAATCGAAGACTTCTTTAGGGCAATCACCTCATTCTCACTAGGGAAAATAGTAGAAACATTAGCACTCAGAAAACTAATAGTTAAAGAATGTTCTCCTGAAGCACGAGAAAAAGAATTTGTAATTAGTTTTTTATCAGATGGGGGTTTTGTGGAGATAAAAATGTCGAGATAAAAAATGTCACGACTGAATATCAACAGAACTGTTACACCATGTTGTCATACTGTGCATTATCACATGATCACTACATATCAAAAGGGGGTTTCTTGGAGATCTTAGTAATATTGTAGTTGATTTCATGAGTCAATTAAAGATAGACCACCACAAAAAATCTGGAAGCACTAGGCAGGCGTTTTTCACTAGTATGGATCCCGCGGGCGTGATCGCAGACGCACACTGCTGAAGAGCCAAACAATAGGACGAAACGGCCGTCCAGTGCTTCCAGGTTTTTCATAGTAGTCTAGCTTTAATTGACTTATGGATTCAACTATAAGATTACTACTTAATTGAAATTCAGCCACATATTTCTTACAAGCAAACCAATCTAGCTGATATTTCTTTTTTTCCTGGTTTATAATGATTCTACAGGCAAAGCTTATTGAACGAAACTCCACTTCACAATTTTTTGTAATGGAAGAGACTGCTTTCTGTCTATCTGGTTATTTGATTCAATCAAAATCATATTCTTTACACTTTCCCAGTCAGCTTTAAAGAAGAAGGAAATTAAACACAAAGATAATCTAACAACTAATGCCTAAACATAAGCTAACTAGATGACCCATCTAGAGACAGACATATAGATGTGGCTTTAGCCTACCAATCCTAAACTTTGTGGTTTTAATCAGTGAAACAATGAATACAAGTAAGCACTTAAAACATATTTTGCTCATGTAGGAGATTATTTGTATGTGAATTTATATTCCAGTGAACCAGAACTTGGCAAAAATCAATTGATTGTTTAATACAAAATTTTACAGTGCCTCCGTAAAATATGAAAATCATACATTGAATACACTGTTTGCATATATTCCTTCATTGGTCCTTTCATTACTTCACAATCCTTCTATTTTTGTTATTATTCCAATCGCTATCTAATTCCATACCTCTTCTCTTCAATTCAACCATATACTGGCAGGCATTTTACGTGAGATTGCTGATATATACTACTTATATCGTTCAGCATAAGTAGTATACATCCCGACATGATAACTACAAAATAGAAGTCAAGAAATAAGAACAACACAGAAAGTATATTACATCTAAATACTTAAATCAGTAAACAATACAGTTCTGTTTGCTTTAGAAAATTGATATTATCTGACGATAAAGAAAAAAAACTAGTCTTAAATGTACGTAAACAATCAAGGACTAATTTATGACTTGTCATTTAACCAATTTCAAGTTATCTGAAAATTATTCCCAGTGTTCACATGTATAGGGTTTTGTGCATTTACGTCAATCTTATAACATTTTTGTGGAGGATTATTACACGTGATAACTGACGTCTATAAAAAAACTATTTGTTTCAACATTTCGTTACTTAGACGATGAAAGACATTAAATAGGAGATTTTATATCTGAAAATCTTTGTATATATATATATATATATATATCAACTCTGAGATGCAGGTACATACAGTTGACGAGTCCCAAATAGGATGAAAGGTGCGTCCTGGATTCCACTGTTAGCCGCTATCCATTTTTGCTTATAATGCTTGTGAATTAAGGCAATGTCGAGGTAATGCGCACAGTATGCACATAAGGCCGATAAGACATTGACCAGTTGAAGTCCTAAGCATCAATAGGAAGATTCAAGCAAACAATACTAAGTGTATATGTCACTAGATTCATTCAAATGCTTATATCTAGTTGTACTTAAGGAGAGAGCCATTGAACAGTACTGTGTTGAACATTTGATATCAAAAACAAATTAAATGAAATATATAATCTATAATGACTTTATTACAGTTATGGAGTGCCGCTTTCATCCAATACATTGAAGCGGAGAACTATATTTGTAAAACTCTCAGTGATTAAACTTTAAGTAGATCTCACATTTCGCTCGACAATCTGTTTCAAGTTTTTTCCAGTAATTATTATCAAACATCAACATTATCGAACATAAATACATGATTTGCCGGTTAATTGTATACCAAACAAGTCGTTCTGTCATGTTAACAATATTGAAAGTGAGATTTGTGTATTGTGTATGAGGACTTTGGTGTATACAGTTGAGAAAATGATGTTAAGATAACAGTTGTATATATTATTACCTTTGATTAGTGGTTCGAGACGAAATCAGACAATTTGATAGATGATATGAATCTTACATATCATAGTATGCATAAAATGAAGATTGGTAAATAAAATAAATATTTGTGTTGGAAGCCTTTCTGAAGGTGGAGTGTTTTCTGAACCGTAAAACTTATGTGTAAAGTTTAAACAGTGTATTTAAACAATATCATCTACACTAATTAAAACTGTACTACCTCAAATTCTTAAATGATTTGTAATGTTCTCAAAAGTACAGTAGGCATGTTGTCTCCTCTATTTTTATCTAATGTGCATGCCTTTCCAAGTACATTTAATTTACTATTGTCATGTAGTGCCATGAATCGCTAATCGTTCACCTCGATAACCGTTATAATACAAATCTTAACGGTGCATAAAATCAGAAGGCAAAGAGAAGCCGCAACTACAGTTTATTGTCAAATAACGCAGGCCAGAAATTTATAAGCACATGAAAAAATATCAGCGAGCGAAGTGAAAAATGACACGCATTGAAGATGGCGGGTAAGCCAACTCACTTTTATCAAGCGTCAATCAATATTTATATTCAGACAGGAATAAATGACAGACTTGTGATAAATAGGATAAGAAATGTACACACATATACGCTCATATAAAAAACAGTCGGGGTTAATAATTGAATAATTAACAAAGTCAAAACGGGACTCCTGGTGGATAGGTAAGTTTGGTTGTACAGAAGCTAGAATAAGCTATATGGGCTTAATATATCAACCGAAACTACAGTCATCGTGACTGTTTATACCTTACTAGCCAGTTTTTACTTAGCTAACTATTATGTCAATCATCTGTGGTTTCTAATCATTCGAATCTTTAACTTATATAAACTCTAAAAATCATATATAATATCATCAAATCAACTTCTAAATTATAACCAACTGCCAGTCCTCTATCTTTCCGCATCATCTTTAAATACTTCCTGTAAAGATGGCTCGTTGGCAAACTCAAGGAAGCCTCAAGAGGCCCAGAAAGAGCCGAAAACATTCCATTCAATCACCAATAGGGGAGCATTCTACAATGTCGACGTGTAGCTACACTACTGGATGAATATGAAGGACCCCCCTGTTCAAAAATGATGATTTACTTTCAGCAAAAAAACTATAAATACATACGATTTTTGTACTATACTTGACACTGATTGGGGTAATAAAATTCCTACTTACTAGTCTTCTGTTTTCTCTGTTGCGACGTTGCGAGTTCCATCGTTCAAGTAGTCTAGTAGTCTGCAGCATAG